TATAGTCCTAGCCTTCACAGCCTCCTCTAGCAAGGAGTTCCACAGGTTGACTACACGCTGTGTGAAGAAGAACTTTCTTTTATTAGTTTTAAACCAGCTACCCATTAATTTCATTTGCTGTCCTCTAGTTCTTCTATTTAGGGAACTAATAAATAACTTTTCTTTATCAGCCCTCTCCACACCACTCATGATTTTATAGACCTCTATCATATCCCCCCTCAGTCTCCTCTTTTGTAAACTGAAAAGTCCCAGTCGCTTTAACCTCTCCTCATATGGGACCCGTTCCAAACCCCTAATCATTTTAGTTGCCCTTTTCTGAATCCTTTCCAAGGCCAAAATATCTTTTTTGAGGTGAGGGGACCACATCTGTACACAGTATTCCAGATGTGGGCGTACCATAGTTTTATACAGGGGCAGTAAGATATTCTGTGTCTTATTTTCTATCCCTTTCCTAATAATTCCTAGCATCCTATTTGCCTTTTTGACTGCCGCTGCACATTGCGTGGAAGTTTTCAGAGAACTGTCCACGATAACTCCAAGATCCCTTTCCTGATTTGTCGTAGCCAAATTAGCCCCCATCATACTGTACATACAAACTGGTAGCACAGCTACACTGCATAGACCAGTGGTGCACAACCTTTTTGTACTCACAAGCCCCACGGCTCCTTTAAATGCTGCTCTGTTCGCCTGCCACTCCCCTCACCCCCACTGCATGTATGTCGGGCACTGAGCCGGAAAAAAGAAAATACCGGCCAGCCCAAATCACAGCACTGCGACCCCTCCCCCCGGAAGACAGCCGCGACCCCCAAGGGGGTCACAACCCATGGATTGCACACCGCTGGCATAGACCAGAGGTGAACAATAAGCAGCACATGGGCCACACATGGTATGCCAGGGTTAGCCCCTGCTGTACCACCAGGCGCTTGACTTATCTGTACATCCACTTGCACGTATGTTCACTTGCAGCTCCCATTTGCTGAGGTTCCCAGTTCCCAGCCAATAGGTGCCACAGGAAGTAGATGCCCAGCCCATGCTGCTTCCTGCAGCTCCCATTGGCTAGGAATGGCAAACTATAACCAATGGGAGCTGCAAGCGGACATACCTGTGGACACTCAGGTAAATAAAGTGTCTGGTGGCCAAGCAGGGTTAACCCTGGTGAACCGCATCCAGCCTCCTGGCCCACTTATTGCCCACCCCAGCACAGACGCCGAGCAGGGCTTACCTTAGTGCAATTTTCTAATGAATAACGAATGTTAGAAGCAAATAGTTACAGGCTTGGTCTGCATTTGAAAGTTATAGTAGCATAGCTATGTCACTTAGATGTGTGAAATACCACATCCATGACCAACAGAGCTATGCTGACAGACCCTCACTGTAGATACAGCTATGTGGATGGAAGAAGGCTTCTTTCATGGTGTTCTGCACCCCCAGAAACACTCTTATTGGTATAGCTTGTGCTTATGCCGGTGGGCTATGCTCGTATAGTATGCAGAGTATAAACACAGACCCAGTTGACAATTTTAAACTTTTCTTTACAGCTTCAAGACATAGGAATTTTATCTCTTTTGTGGCATGTGGTGCAGCATATTCCCCAGCTGCAGAACACACGCCCCTCTGGAGATTACTGTGGGAGGAGGAAGGGAAGGTTATGAAAGGAGAGGAAACAATAACCCTGTTGGGAATTGGGGAGAAGCTGATTCAGAATTTAAAAGGTTTTGATTTCAGGGTCAGGCCTTCTTCATTCCTCAGCTGACCCTCTCATCCCGTCGTCCACACTCTACTGCATGAACGACAAAGTCCCATGCAGGTTTTCCCATTTTCTTTCACAATTTTCCATTTGCCTCTGCTACTGAGTAGGAAGGAATTCCATGCCCTGTCATCCACTATGCCCATACTGTACGTGTATGGAGAAAAAAAGATCTAATTTCCCATGTGGAGCATCTTTATTTAAAATGCTTCCACGCTCCTGATTACTGCCGCTCTTGAGGCATGCATATTTCCAGATATTTGCTGTAGCTTCTGTGATTCAGTCTCATGAGATGCACAACATTTTCCATAGCAACCACAGAGATCCCAGTCTCCTTAAAGATACATTCACTAACAGAAACTGAGACATGTAAGAGGATAATAACAAGTATTTTAAGGATCTTTAGAACCTGTTGCAGCCTGGCTGGCCCTTTAAACGAGTTAGGCTCAGCTTTGTCCCTCACTGATGGTAATCATTCATAAGCCCAGTTCTGAAGGGGTGAGGAAAAGACTATAAACAGGGTTCAGAACTCACTTAGGGAGGAGGGACCCAGGAGAGCCTAACAAGCAGAATTCCCTCTCTAGACAAGGCTTAGGGAAATCAGGCTAGAAGGGATCCATGGGTTTTGGGGGGGAGACCTTGAGAGAAGACTTGTAAGGGTCAGAGACAGGCCCACCAACAGGATGGAGGGGAAGGGGGACAACTGTTCTCAGACCCAGGGGCCCGGAGCTGTAGCTTCAGCTACTGCCACTGCCAGCGCTCTGAGCCATGCACTCCAGGTAGTACTAAAGGCTGGGGAAGGAGCACTGAGGGCCATTCTACCCTCAGCCCTTCCCCCTTCCAGGGGCACAGACCTAGCCCTCACACACACACCTTGCCCAGGGGCCTGTGGAGGCTGTCAGCTCTGCTGGTCAGGGAGATACCTGAGGTAAACTGACAGAGTCCCCGGTTAAAGGAGGCAGGGCAGGGAAGAGTGCTGATGGGCAAGAAGCACAGAGTAGGAAATCTTCCGGGGCCAGCAGCAGGGACAAAGCAGAAGGCTTTAGAGTGGCCCAAGGAGAGCAGATGAGTATTAGGGTGAAGATAGGGTTGTGCCTTTCATTACTGCAAAAGGTGTTCAAATGTCCATTTGGCCTAGCCACAGTATGCCTAGAGAAAGAGAGACACAGGAGAAGACTCAGGCTGGGAAAAGCCATTGCAGGGCCAAGGAAGCAATCACCAGAGAAAAGGATTTCTTGGAATGCCATTTCTGGGCCTGATTGCAGCTCTCCTGTGGCAGAACACCACAGTTCATTCATTTTAAGACCAAGTCCTGGATTGCAGCCTGGCTGGTACCAACTGTGATTAAAGCCAAATCTTCACTTCCTAGAAGATCAGTGCTGTGGCAGTCAATCTTCTGGAGTTTGATTTAGCGGGTCTAGTAAAGCCCCGCTAAATCGAACGCTGAAGGCACCCCCATCGATGCTGGTACTCCTCAAATTGCAAAGAGTAAGGGAAGTCCACTCCCATCGGCCTCCCGCTGTGGAGACAGCGCCAAAGTTCAAATTAAGGTATGTCGACTCCAGCTACATAATTAACATAGCTGGAGTTGTGTATCTTAATTCAAACTCCTGCATAAGTATAGACATGGCCTAACTCGCCAGGTCCAGCGCCCGCCAGGCTTTCTCTTTGGGAACCTGTGACACCATGCATTTGCAATGATCCAGACAATGTCTTCAAAACAAAGTATGGTTTCTTTTGTCCATAGCAAAGAGGTCCTACATGCACTGGAAAGATGCTGGAAAGAGACCAAACTTAGCCTCTTAATCCATAACTTATGTAGCTCTTGCTTATTGCCCATTGCTGAGCTGGAAGAATCAGCCTACTCTGCTTGCAGCCTTGCCTCCTGTCTCAATCAGATTGTTCATTTTTTCTCTTACACATCCTTAGCTCACCCCAACCCCCTTCCTTTCTGTCACTCAAGGCCTTTTGCTCTCAGGTTTGGCCTTTGGAAAGGTACAGGATTCTAATGTAGATGGAGTCAGCTGTTATCTTAACTCCTTTGAAACTGATCACCTGTTTTATCTGTGCCATTGTTTTACCTTTCCTGGGTTCTTTAATGCCCTCCTTTACAGCTTCTTTTGATCTAACTCTGTGCATTCAGGCAGGCACCAAGCCAAAAAAAAACAGGGAAACAG